GATAGGCTGACGAAATTGGCCCATTTTCTTCTAGTCAGGACTACTTATTCGGCTGAAGATTATGCGAGGTTATATGTCAGGGAGATAGTGAGACTTCATCGGGTTCCCCCGTCCATTATATCAGACAGAGGATCTCAATTTACAGCCAATTTTTGGAGATCGTTTCAGAAGGGATTGGGGACACAGGTGAACCTTAGCACAACATTTCACCCTCAAACTGATGGGCAAGCTGAGCGTACTATTCAGACATAAGAAGATATGTTGCGGTCCTGTATTATTGACTTCAAAGGTAGCTGGGATGACCACTTTCCGCTCATTGAGTTTGCCTATAACAATAGCTACCATTCTAGTATCCAGATGGCACCGTACGAGGCCTTATATGGGAGGAAGTGCAGATCACCTATTGGTTGGTTTGGTGTTGGCGAGACTAAGTTAATAGGCTTGGATGTGATTCAGCAAGCTGTTGACAAGGTGAAGCTTATTCAAGAAAGATTATTAGCATCCCAGAGTCGACAGAAGTCATATGCAGATAATCGGCGTCGAGATTTGGAGTTTCAGATTGGTGACTGGGTATTCCTGAAGGTATCACCCATGAGGGGTGTGATGATATTCGGCAGGAAGGGAAGCTCAGTCAGAGATACATTAGGCCTTATCAGATTGTTCGTAGGATAGGCAAGTTTGCCTATGAGTTGGATCTACCATCTGATTTGGAGGCGGTACATCTAGTCTTCCATGTATCGATGCTACGTAAATGTATTGGTGATCCTTCTATAGTATTCCGCGTAGATGATGTTCAGGTAACAGAGGAGTTGTCATATGAGGAGAAACCCGTAGCTATACTTGATCGTCAGGTTAGAAGGTTACGTACTAAGGATGTGGCTTCCGTCAAAGTGTTGTGGCAAAATAACAATAGGGAGGAGATGACTTGGGAAGCGGAAGACGAAATGAAGAATAAATATCCTTACTTGTTCCCCGTACCTGCAGGTAATTTAATTCCTAGCTTGACTATATTGATTGATAAGCGAGATTATGTAGTAAGTTGTGACTCTGTGAGGCATCTGTAAGTTACGAAATGCAGGTTGATAGGTATAACTGTTAGAGAGACCTCGGTGGAATTTGTTTTTGTAAAACGCTAACTTAACATTCGAGGACGAATGTTCCTAAGGGGGAAAGGATGTTATGCCTCGTATTTTTTATACGTAGTGCGCATCATGACCTAGTAGACGTAAGTCCGGGGAATGAGATTTTATTTTAAGTTCCAAGTGATTAAAGAAATATTAAGCAAGTATGTTAATTCCAAATGTGATATTAAGTATGATTTGGGTAATGTAAGTGTCATTAACTTCAAGTGAGGGATTAATTAGTGGCTGATTTGGATTAATTTAATCCAATGGGCCCCACCACTCATAATTGGTGGCTGATTAAGATTAATTTAATCTAGTGGGCCCCACCACTCAAGGAAAAAATTGAAAAAAGATCAGATTGTGAGCTGGCCTTAGTGGACAGGTGTAGAGGGGGGCTGCCTCCACTTCATACTATTAAATGAGGTGGAGAAATCCACTCTATGCTAGATAAAGTGGTGAAATGCATTGCTGCATATCATCTTCTTCTTCACCACTTGTTTTAGGCAGCCATGGAAATGGAGAAGCCAACCCTGCAAATCTTGGCCAGCAGCTACAAATAATTTGGTTAGTAATCTACTTGTTTGGTGTGTTAATTATTTAGGATACCTTTGTTAATTATCCATTAATTTTAAGAAGGGGGCGTGACCAGTAGCTTAGGAAGTTTGTTTTAGTTATTGAATGTGCTAAGTATGAACGGAAACCATAATCGGATTATTAGTGGTGTCGTGTTGGTGATTGGGCTGTTTTGATTAAAGCAAACTGCGGGAAAATTCTTTTTTGGCATTATTTATATGTTAAATGTGATTATGAGTATATACTCCAAAGGATGAATACGATATGGTAGATGTGTTGCGAATTATAAAACGAGTTATCGCTCGGTGTGTCGTTGCTTCGCTGCTATGGTTGCCGAGACGGAACTATTTTGGGGAGGGGGGCTGTTTAATATGATTCGTTGGGTTATATGTGTTATTGGTATTGGTGTGGATAATTTGGGTTGTTGTCGGATTGGGGCGAAGTAAGGAAAATAGGGGAAGTGCTACCGAATTTTCGTTAGATTATTAGCTAGCTTACAAGAAAGTAAAGCACGATGTTTATCTAATTGTGGCAGATTGTTGCTTGTTATAGATTAATAGCTTGAGCAGTAAATATTGGACGTGCGGCTCGATTATACAGTATGTAACGCTGTCCCTTCTTTCTTTGTTTGGCATGACTTTTAAAAATAAGCGAATAATGGACATGTTTGATACTTACCTCTAGAGCGTCTAGGTGACGTATATTCTTGCTTCCACAATTATTCCTCTATATATCGGCTATGTCTAAGGCTATGATAATCTCTAACATCTATGGTAGTGCTTCTTAGAGTCATTGAGATTTTACGTTTCCATATTGTATTAAAGGTTCATAATCTTGATAAAACATTAATCTTTGGTAATACTCCTTGCTGGTTCACGTTGATTGTTCTATTGAGTTATAAGAAATGATTTTAATTGCATATGGTTTCTCATAATATTCTGTTCGTGCATAGAGTCATTTATCATTTCACCGAGTCCCAGGCCGGTAATGTTCGTGCGAAGTTTCTTGCATATGTCACCGAGTTCCTCACTAGAGGGCTGGGTATGTATATTATATATATGATTGGTGATGAGGATGGTTATGATGATGATGATGACGGAGATGACGTGATGAATATTTTGCCGAGCCCCTTACTAGGGAAGCTGGGCACCTTATATGTTAAATATATGCATGATTTTCACCTAAAAGGGTATATGTGTAGCGATATTTTGTTTCGACTTGCCATATAGGTATCCTGCCATCTTTACCTTATGCTTTACATACTCAGTACATTGTCCGTACTAACCCCCCTTTCCTCGGGGGGGGGGGGGCTCCGTTTCATGCCCGCAGGTGTAGACGGGCAGTTCGGTGATCCTCCCGCCTAGGATATCTACTCTGCTGATTGGGAGATCTCCACTTACATAACTTTTTGTGTAGTCTTTTTCTCGTCTATGGGTACAGCAGGGCCCTGTCCCGTCGGGTTTCACTACTGTACTCTTAGAGGTCTGTGGACATTATGTGGGTTGTATATATATGTTTTGGGTAATGGTCTGGACATGGTTTGTTTGGGATGTCCGCTTGTACAGGGGCAGCCTTGTCAGCTGCGTACATCATTGTGTATTGTGTAGTGGCAGCCTTGTCCGCTTACATATGTTATTATGCTTTGAATAGTGGCGGCCTTGTCGGCTCGCGTATGTTGTTACGGTTGAGTGGTTATGACTCCTTATGAGACAGGTCCTCTTTATATATATATGACGTTGGGGTTGGCTTGATTTGATTATATTCCATATTGTCTTAGTTTCAGTTGGTTATACTTAGCAGGTTTGTATGTGGGTGTCCAAAACGGGCACTAGTCACGGCCCATCGGGTTGGGTCGTGACAATATGTTAGTATTTTTTATAAAGGAAACAAAGCATGTAGATATTATATTTAGAGAGGAATTTTGTTAGTGCAATTGTTTGGCTACATTAACTTTTATCATGACTCCACATAATCTCATTTTCCATTTATTTCATTTTTTTTGTGTAAAGCAAATCACCACAAGTATAACGTTTCAAGTTATAAAGCACCATTGTAACCCCGTATTCCTGATTACCCCAAGTATAATGTTGAAAGTTATAAAACACCATTGTAACCCCACCCATATTCCTAATCACCACAAGTATAATGTTACAAGGCCTTTTCCTAGAGGATAGGTAATATGGAGCTAGATGATGCAAATCTAGCTCACGATCATTTTTGAATTCAAAGTGTATATTTATCAAAACATATAGTAGAAGTTGAAACCAATAAGTATAATATAAGTTTGCACCAAACATCGAGTTCAGTAAGTATTCTATATGATAGAATGTGTAACGATATTTGCCTTTGAATGAGCTTGTAAAAAGTGTGAATATCAATGGTGGTCGTGATAACAAAGGTGTTTGGTGATTGATAACAATAATGGTGATGGTTAAATCTTAATGACAACATATGGACTTGTTGACCTAAGTTCTAAATCATTCAGATTCAAGTTGCAAAATGTTGCAAAATCGGTCATTTCACTTTACATGGTGATGAGTATGAGATTTAAAAATATAGGAGAAAAATCGATATTGACGAGATAAACTCAGTGTTAGATGTTATTTGGTGAAATGCAAACAATAGCTTGTATTCTACAAAAGGTAAGTCAAATAATTATGTAACACCAAGATATGTACAAAGTCTCAAGTTCACAAAAAATTTCATATTCAGAGTTAAATTTCAGGATGATGCTTTACGTCATTGTGATGAAAGAAATTATTAATGGTCGTGGTTGGTGAGTGTGACAATGAATATTATCCACAAAAGAATACATCTTAATGATTCTAAGACTTTGTTCAAGATCTTAATGATTAAAGACCTGTTCAGACTAGTTAAATACTTAAATCTTATAATAAAGTTTGATAGGTAAAATAGTCTCAATTCCATCTCCCTAAAAGGAATACAAATTAGTGAGAAATAGGAAACCCATTTATTATAAGATGCATGCTGCAAAAATTGCTAATGTAGAAGTCTATAGCATAATATTTCGTTCGAAACTAGACAATACAAGTCGAAAGCATAGATTGTTTGCCGTTAATAAAGCAGAGAATTAAGGTACTAATAGCTCTGAGACTATTATTATGCACGTCAAAAAGTGTCTACTGATTAGTCTTTAAGTCTGTTGTGATATAGGTAGTTCACTTCTTTTAAGACATGATTTCAGTAGCGACACACTTGTTATTTATAGGGTGGAGTTTGAAGTTTCTCGCTTATGATGCATCCTAGCTGGGTCATAACTTCCTCCAACTCACATTTTGTCTTTCACTTTCCAGAATTGGGAAGCTGTGACTTCCATCTAAGTTGGATGTCTTTGAGCATCATTTCTCTATTAAACTTTTCACCAGAACAAACAATATTCACCTGTACAAAATGATATAAAGACGATTCAATGGCAAAGCTGTAGTGTAGTGATATTTTCAACATAACTTCATGTAGTATAAAATAAAAATTTGTTTCACTGTCCTAGCTATTTATATTTGTTCGTCTTTTAATCCGAGAGATCATCAATTGTTTAAGTTCCTTTATCTTTGTTAAGTAAGAATTAATATATTTATTCAAACAAGAGGGAAAATTTTTAAAATTCCTAATTCTTAAATTTTATATAACTAACAAGTTCAAAGAAATGCAGAATTTAGCTTATAAAATTATCACCTCAGCATGATCATTAAAATTTAGCTTTTGTGCAATGAACTTCTTTCGACTAAAGTTACAGACAAATCAATGTTGCGTGTGCAAAAACTTACTTGAGATGAATATTGAGCCTGTCAAGGGGAGACAATCTAAGTCCCTTCCTGCCAAGAGTAAAAGAAAAACTTTATGTCAAATCAATGAGACAACAAACTTCGGAGCTATGTGCCTGGTATATTGGTACTTACTTGCCTCCCTGTGGTACAAGTTTAAACTTAGAAAGAGGAAAGTTCTTTCTGTATTTCATCCAAAGCTTGGTTTTCTTGTGTTGAAGGCTCTTTTTTTCGGGTCTAGTTGCTTGTTTTTTCTTGCATGTTCTTCTGTTTTTGCTTCTCTGTTTCTTCTTATGCTCTTTGATATTGTCCACTATAATGGACTTTCATAATTCAACATTTGTTGTTGATACGCTTGAAGCAAGTTGGGACATCTTCAAAAGACATATACTCTTATTTTGAGGTTATGCAAAATATATATTTACGCAGTAGAACGGAAAATAGCTGACAACTACCTGAGTGCAGACGCAGTTGAAGGGAAACCTGAGGTTTCTTCTCAGGACATGTGATGATCCATTAGAGATTTTGTCCTCTGTGTTGCCTGCTAAATTAATTTTTTTTCGGAGATTACTTTGAGACTAGATTAAAATAAGTTGGTGTAAATAACATGAAGAGCTACAAGAGAAACTATAGATGCATAAAAGTATGAACACAATCGAATATGAAGTTTGAGATGAGTTGAGGTGTCTAGATGTGCATCGTCAAAATTTGAGTGTTCAATAGCAAGTTGAGGCCAAGATAGGGATTATTTAATTGCAAAAATATTTGACTAAATTGTTTCTACATGGTCTAAACCATCTCATGACCATTTGTAAAGGAAAAAGTTGCATTTCAATATCATGATATCGAGTAGCTCTTGTACCGCAAACGATTTAGATGCGTTTTGATTGTCTATTCCAAGGGTATCTTTATATTTATACCTATTATTGTCGTGTAATTATTGATTCCTATATAGTTTGCAAGCATCTTTAGTTGTTACTCTTTCATAACACAAGGTAAGGGTCCTCATGTTTCATAATTTTTGCATTTCTTATTAGGGTAATTATTTAACTTTGTTGATGGTAAATTAGAAAAAAATTAAGGTTAGAGTAAAAGTGCATCACTGAAATTTATATTTTGGAACCAAAGAACTTCTAATCATACTCAATAGGTTTCATTGAACAATATTATAAATAATATTTCTAGAACCAAGAAATGTGCTAAATGATTGAATGATACGCATCCAAGGGCGTGAATACTAAGGTTGAAATCCCAGAGAGTAAAAAATATAAGTTGAACCTTAGTTGGTAAAATTACCCAGTAACTATGTTGGTGAGATATAGAAGGTATTCTGTGGAATATTTAAAGTGTGCACAAACTAACCCTAACATAAATAATTTTTTTAAAAAAATAATGAACTATGTAGAAAAGCTCAAAATTAACCCGAGTTTATCTGTCGCTTGAACAAAAAAGGAAAAAAATAATTTTTTTTTATTTATAAGAGAAGATCAAATCTAACCTATGTTGAATGTATTACATGAGAAACAAAGAAAAAATCGATTAATAAATTAATCTATTGAGAAAATACTACATCATACTAAGTTGAATGTGTCACTTGAGCACTAAAAGGTCAAACAATTTTTTTTTTGAAATCTATTAAGAGAAACTCAAACCTAACCTAATTTTAAACTGTCATTTGAGCAGAAAAAGAAAATCAATAAAATATATTCATCTTTTGCGAAAAGTTCAAACTTAGCCTAAATTTAATTTGTAACTTGAGCAGCAAAAGGAAAAATCAATTAAAAATTGATTATTAAGAAACATCTAACATGAATTGATTTTTCACTTGAATAGCAAAGGAAAAATCAATTAGAAATTTATAAGCTCATACCGAACTTAAGTTGAATCTGACACTTAAGCAACAAAGAAAAAAATCAATAAACAATTGATCTACGAAAAAAAACTCATGACTAACTTGAGTTAAATCCTTGAAAAGCAAAGAAAATATCAATAGTGAGTAGAGCCGTCAATAAGGGTTGAGTCCGGGTCAACTCGTGATTTGATTGGATTAGACCAAGATTTTTGGAGCCCATTTAAAAATAGGACTCTTGAGCCCAACCTAAATAAGCTCATTAGCCTAAGGGGCTTGAACTATATGAGTTGGGTCAGCCCGCGCATTAAAGGATAAATTAGCAAATTAGTCAAAAATCTTAACATAATTATAAAAACTATTCATACTTAATAAATTTTAGTAAAAATGTCAAAATGTCATTATTTTAGAAATTATTGTGTATCCTAATTTAGACCCTATTTTATGTCACCTGAAGTATACCTTTTCCAATTCATTCGCTCTCATATGTTTTTTTTTAAAAAATATTCTCTCACACTGATTTCACTTTTCCAATTCTTCTTCATCTTTTAACTCTCACTTCTCTTTTCCGTTCTTTTTTTTTGAAATTGGGAAGTATATTCTCTAAAGATATTCACAACAATTCTTCTGATTATGGTATGCATCATCCAATTTATAGGTTTGTTTACTTCTTTTTTGTTTAATTTTTTCAAAAATTTTGTTTGTAGTTGAGTATTAATTCTACCAAGTTTTATTTAGGGTTTGAAAAACATAAAATCACTCTCTAATGGTTGAATCTAAGAGGAATACGAGAGTGCAACTTAATCAATAATTTTCTAACGACTTTTCATTTTTCAATATATATTTTACTTAAGAAATAAAGGACAATGTAGGATCCATTATTAAAATAACAACATTGAGATGATCAGAGAGTTGGTGCTTTCATCTTTTTGTATCACTATTAATAAAAGAAAAAAAAATTAGGTGTAGAAGATTTTGAAAACTTGTTGAAGACCAGGTTTAGGGTAGAACAATTTTCAATTAGTTTGTTTTGTATTTATAGTTCATTTTTAGAATTTGGTATTCCTTCTCAGTTTGTATTCAAATCACTATATATATTATCAATATTTGTATTTATTAAAAATTTCGTGTTGCATAGTTTATAAATCTTGTATTTGTCCGAATTTGTATTCATCCCAAAAGTATGTCAGTTAGGTATATATTTTATTTATAGGAAGAACGATTTTTTATTAGTTTCTTTTATTTTTAGGAATACTGCACAAGTACCCTCTCAACCTATGCCCGATATCGCAGAAACACACTTATACTATACTAAGGTCTTATTACCCTTCTGAACTTATTTTATTAATAATTTTCTAGCCTTTTTGGGCCTACGTGACAATATCTTGTGGGCCCAGCGCTGGTTGAGATATTTTTTTTCAAGCTAGTGCCACGTAGGCCCAAAAAATGTAGAAAATAACTTATAAAATAAGTCCAGGGGGGTAATAGGACCTTAGTATATTATAAGCGTGTCTCTGAAATTTCGGGCATAGGTTGAGGGTACTTGTACATTTTCCCTTTTTTTTTACAATTTTTTCTTCAAATTTTTGTATCTTTTCTCAATTCTCATTCAAACTACTATGTATGCTATTAATATTTGTATTTATTCAAAATCTCATGTTGCATAACAATAATTAGTGAAAATTGGATATTGAAAATTTTATAGATGTGGTACTTCATTAATTCCGTGATTTTCATAATAATAATTAGTGAAAATTGGATATTTTTCTTGGCAAATAAAAGTGTTTAGAAACAAAAAAGATTAAGAAAATTGGATATTTAATTTTTTTAGAATAATGTGAAATGCTTGTTTTTAGAACATGATGAAAGAAGAAGAAAGAGATGGAAGTTGGTGTATTTTGATAAATTGTAACAGATGAGATCTTAAGCATTTGTTCCTTTTTTAAAAAAATTCGCTCTCCTAAATTCCTCCAATATGTTATATAAGAATTGTATTCTTTAAATAAAAACATAAATAAGATACGTAACAAACTAAAATTTTGACATTTTTACTAAATATTGACGTGTTGCTAATGAGCTCTCTTAAATATTAAAATATTGACATTTTGAAAAATTTTCCATTAAAAATTAATTAAAATTATAATAAAATAGAATACTAAAACTAACAACAGGAATCTAAACTCGAAGTCTTAAACCATGCGTACAAATAGCACAAAGTTCAAATCCTCACATAAACTTTACATTTTTTAATGATTCTTCATTACTTTCTTCTTCTTGATACTTGAGTTTGATGTTCTTGAGGCAAGGGTCTTTTAGAAACAACTTATCAAGCTCCATGAGATAGTGATAAGGTCTACGTACACTCACCCTTCATAGACCTCACTGAGTAAAGTTTCACTAGTATGTTGTTGTTGTTGTTGTTATACCTATGATCTTTAAAAAAATACAGTAATTTCAAATTAAATTCATACAACAAAAATTTTACCTGAAGTCAAACGTAATGTATTATTAAAATTATTTTAATACAGATATTTATATGCATGGTTTATGACTTTAAGTTTAGATTCTTTTTGTTAGTTTTAGTGTTTTATTTTATTATAATTTGTAATTAATTTTTAATTTGATCCACGGGTTGGCCCAACTCATATAGTTCAAGCCTAGAGCTAGTTATTTAACCGATATACATATACAATTTACCTTTCTTCCATCTCTTGCTCACCTTTCTCCTATCTCTCTCAATCTCGATCCCTTCTCTCCTCCCTCTCTCAATCTCTCTTGACATATATTCAAATGCATGTATATATATATATATATATATATATATATGTATGTATGTATGTATGTATACAGTTACCTGACCGATATCCATATACAATTCATCTCTCTACCCCCTCTCGCTCGCTTCTCTCCTCCCGCTCCCAATCTTGATCGCCTCTCTTGTCCCTCTCCTAATCTTGCTCGCCTATCTTCTCCTTCTCCCAATATTGCTGTCCATATACATATACATATGTATAACATATAATTATCCAACCAATATATGTACACAATTTGCCTCTCTCCCACTCTCTTCCCTCTCTCACTTGTCTCTCTCCTCTCTCTCCCAATCTCGCTCGCCTCTCTCCCTCTATAACATGTAGTTACAAATTGTAATTATCAAACTATAGTTGTGAAAAGTAAAAAGGCTATTTTTGAGTGGCCATATGTGAAAGTTCAACTTCTTACAATTATAAACGGTGTGTATTTAAATTTTAATTTATGTGACATAATATTTTACATTGACTTGTATTTCCTTACTTTGTAAATTGTGGTAGTCGCACGTGATTGCATCTATGCTTTAAGTAAATGCATTTGATATATGCGATTGATGGCTCTTTTTCAGGGAAACAACACTTGACCTATTTCTCCTGCTTGTCCTCCCGTACACTTTTTCTTTTTGTTTATTCTTGTCAAACTTACATATACAAAGATGTCATTAGGATAAAAAAAGGATAATTAGTTGTTACAAATAATATTAGATATATTTTAAGAATTATATAAATAATACATCGAGTTTAGTCAGAAAACTATTTGTTCATGTGATTATTTTTTCATATAAATACTTTTTCAATAGTTTAGGCATGAAATTAAAAAAAATAGTTTAGATGTGTTTTTGACACTTCTTTTTATTTTATATGTATTTCTCCAATTCCATGGACTTATGGTGTTCTAGTGATGGTGAAAATGGTGAAAATGTTATGGGTATTTGAAGGGTTGGGTAAGAAAATAGAAGAAAAGGGTAAAGAATAGAAAAATTGAAAATAATAATAATTTGATAACATGTCAAACGCGTGAAACTCACATGCCACCATAGATCATCTGGTTACGACTTTTTAGGGGTAAAACTATTTCATTTTTAAATTGTTTAGTGGGTGATAAGACACCCGTGATACTAGATACGTCAAATTAATGTATTTATTATTTTAAGAGTAATAAAATAAAATTGATCATTACATGACCAATTACATAGTTTTTTTAATCTTTTATTAATAATATTCATGAAATTAGTATTTCAAAGAATAATAAAATAAAATTAATTAAACATACTTTGATTTTCACCTTATATTAAGGGATTTGATTAATTTAAATTTTCAAAATTATTTGTCCATATATTCTAAAAATCCTCAATTACTTCTCTAATTAAGGATATTAGTTACAACAAATTAATTTCCAACTCGTGTATTCTGAGAATGAAATATGATAGAGAAAGTAATATTTGAAACTATCAGGAACTCTAGTAATTAGGACTTAAACTAATGAAATTTATTTAGTTTGTCCATTAACGAAGGGAGAAAGAAGAGTGAGACAAAATAATTGTCCCCCAAGGGATAGTAACAAGCCAAAGTGACTAGCTGTTTCTGTGACAGGAAAATTTTGTCGTGCGTAGCGCGGGTTCTCTATCCAGCATGCTTAAGTCAATTTTGAAATCTTATTTTCTTAAAAAAATTATGAATTTGATTATTTTATTTCAAATTTCCCTACATTTAGACATAATTAAAGAAAAGTTTGACCTAAATAGTGAGTGAGAAGTTCTCCTAGACAGTGAGGAAATATGTCTTAGAGG